GGCTCGTCTGGTAGTTCTTGCCCGAGGAGAACGCCGTCACGGAGCTGTTTTCCACGGGGACGGGGTTCGAGAACACCGTTACGGAGAATGGGTCGTAGAAGAAGACGATGTGGTTGTTGGGGTTCTTGGCGATGAGCGTGAGGTTGAAGAGCGTGTTGAGGTGCGAGGGCGAGTCCGACGGCGTCGTCAGGTTCATCCTCGCAATGCGGAGGTTCGTCACGGAGAATTCAGGGCGGTGGGGACGGTACAGAACAATTTGCATCGCGCCTCCATGCTTCCTCCACAGATCAGCATTTGAGCACGGAAGTCCATCAAATGCTGATTAGGGTCTTGAGTTCCGTCAAAGGGCTCCACTTGAGGTATGCGATGATCCCTAGGGATGGCCTCGGCCTCTATAGCTTCCGAAAAAGGTCGAAAATCCCTGGGGACTTCCAGCATGACATCCTCCTCTACCGTCCTGGCGCTAGCTTCTAACCTGGCCTCCATCTCATTCGCTCGCCTCCTGATCGCCTCATTCTCACGTTGAATGGCTTCCTCTCTCTCCCTAGAACGCGCATTCTCTTCCCTTAAGCCATTGATCATGGCCATCATCTCCTCCATCATTGGAGGTTGTGCGCTGTTGTTGTTGTTGCCGCCTCTTACCATGGTAGATTGCCGATTCTTCTCTGGGACTTAGGGCGTAGGAAGAGTTTTACTGTAGCCCCACGGTGGGCGCCAAAATGTTCTAGCCACGGGATGAACTAGGGTTTCCTCCAGGTCAAACCGCGAAGCCAGAGCATTCAAAAGTGTAATCTGCCTTCTTAGCGCTAGGGTTTGGGGTTTTATACTTTTCTATTCATGGGCTTCGTGGGCCCCGAGATTATCGGGATTCTCCTTAACCACTCTTATCCTGAAGCCATGGGGGTGAGTGGTTGTTAGTCAAGTCGGTATTTTACCGAGAATGCCTTTACAAGGGGACCTGTCGGGAAAACGGCGAATCCCCTCGCGGGTGCATGTAATTGGGGTTAGAACCGAGTTGCCACACCCTGTGACGGTCCAGTCGGGTATTAGACGAGTAGAGGGTCTAGTCGGGATTTTACCTAGACGGTATACTAGTCGGGTTTTTACCTAGACGGTATACTAGTCGGGTTTTCACCTAGACGATACACTAGTCGGGTTTTCACCTAGACGGTACACTAGCCTTCCAGCCCTGAGCCTGAAAGGCGAAAGGGCTTAAGCAACCACTCCTATGAATCGTATCGGAAATAGCCCGGGACGGTACACTTGCCTTCCAGCCTTGAGCCTGAAAGGCGAAAGGGCTTAAGCAACCACTCCTATAAATCGTATCGGAAATAAGCCGGGACGGTACAGAAACATATAACTAATATTATATGTTACAGTGTAGACATCAACACATATTAAATGAGCATGTATTTGAACCAATTTTATGTGATTTCAGGGAGAAAAAAAACCTTTAATATCAAAGATTTTGTATAGAAGATAATTTTATTATTAACATAATATACATCAATTATAATAGATAAAAAATATATTAAATTTATACATTAATTTATAAATATTATATAAACAACTTTTTCTATTTGTATAAATATAATAACAAATTTAAAATATAAATAAAACATTTTTTAAAATATAAAACTAATAAAAATAATATATTATTTTTAATATTTATTATTATATAAAATACATATTAAATAATAAAAAAATCCGTGTTTCGCAAGAATAAGCATATCAGTAAAGAATAGTTAAATAACTATTATTTTATTATTTTAAAGTTGGATAGATAATAGATGACAAATTAAATCTGGAAACTAATCACGTTTTCCATACTTATACGTATTAGAAGAAAAAAGAAAAGTCAAACGAGGAAAAGACCGACTCCAAATGAATGCAGAATGAACCATTTATTTGAAGAATCAAAAGAAATACTTCTCCAACTGAAACGCGTTGGCTCTAGTTCTTCCAACCTCCGACCCACGTGCGTAAAATAAAAAACACAAAACAATATTTCTATTTATATTTATTAACAAAGACGATATATTATAATTAATAATGATAGTATTTTGGGTAAATTTTTTTTTACAAGGAGGGATCATTTTACTCTAGGAATAAGTTTATCTAAATTATTCCGTTCAATAATACATGTTCAACATTAAATTTCAATGATTCAACCGTTTAAATTAAAGTTTTTAATACATAAATTAAATTTGTAAATTTTTAGAAAATTTGAAAATTATTTAATGCTTCATTTAATTAGTTCGAATAATATATAAAATGATTTTATAATTATCAGTCAATTTGAATTAATGAAATGAAGTATCAAATAATTTTAAAATTTTCTAAAAATTTACAAATTTAATTTATGTACTAAAATTTTAATTTAAACAGTTAGATTGTTAAAATTTGATGTAAAACATAAATTATTGAATGAAATAAGTCTAGATAGACTTACTCCTAGAATAAAAGGATCCCTCCTCTTTTTTTATTAAGTTTTATAAAAATATATTTAATTTTGATTACTAAAAAAATAGCTCTATAGATTTAGAAATAATTAAAAAAGTGGGAGGAGAAGTGGAAGAGTAGAGAGTTAATGATAATCGACGTGGTCCGAATTTTGAGGCCAAAAATGTAGCTTCCAATTGCCACAAACCACAATCATAAAAGCCACGACTCTTTCAATTTGTGTATGCAACATAGATGGCACTTTCCACTTGCATTCCCAAGCTTTCAAGGTTACATCCACACTAACAGACGCAAATGCCATTTCTTCTCCATGATTCTCCAACACGCTTCTCTCTGTCCCTGCAACACTAACACCACCGCATTCCCCTTCTCCCGCAGAACCAGGAAGCGCTTATTCTCCCGCAAATTCCGCAGAAAATGGACCCTCCTCTTCTGCGCAGCAATCCCCTCCGACGCTACTCCCAAACACAGCCTCACCAACCGCCCAACCCACGCCCTCAGACGAATCTCAAACCAACTCCAGACCGCCGATTACGACGCCCAATTGCAGCCACAACCGCCCTCGCCGCCGGTTCAATTAGGTTCCACCTTCACCGGCTTCCGCGAGGATCCCATCGTCGATAAGCTGAGGACGCAGCTAGGCGTCATTCACCCGATTCCCTCTCCTCCGATTAACCGCAACGTCGTCGGACTGTTCGTCTTCTTTTTCTTCGTCGGCGTCGTCTTCGACAAGCTCTGGACTTGGCGCCGCGGCAGGGGCAAGAGTGGCGGCGAGGACAGGCTGCGCGGCGCCTGGCCTCAGGTGCCCACGAGCTTCTCGCTGTTTCTGGAGAAGGATTTGCAGCGGAAGGAGTCGGTGGAGTGGGTCAACATGGTGTTGGGGAAGCTCTGGAAGGTGTATAGAGGCGGAATTGAGAATTGGATCATAGGGCTGCTTCAGCCTGTGATTGATAACCTCAAGAAGCCTGATTACGTCCAGCGGGTGGAGATTAAGCAGTTCTCCTTAGGGGATGAACCCTTGTCTGTTAGGAATGTTGAGCGCAGGACCTCTCGCCGGGTCAATGATTTGCAGTAAGTTTGGGTTCTCGTGCGTCTTTGCTTTGTTTTGTTGTCTTCATACGTCTTTCTTTGGAACGAAGAAGCTAAGTTTTCAATCGTAGGAACTGTTCGGATAAAGTTCTGCAGAAGTACTTGTAGGAGAAAAAATAAAATAAAAGAAAATTGAAATAAGTTTTTCCATAAGCTAAAATTAGCTTATGTATAAAAATATGAGAGTTTCTCTACCAAAGATAACTCTAAAAAACACTTCAAACTGGCTCTAAGTTAAAAACAAATTTTAAGAAGTTAATAAGAAAGATCTTCTGCAAATTAACTTATCTATAAATTTTAACTTATGGAGAAACTTATTTTATTTTTCTCCCCTAAAAGTGCTTTTGGAGGAATTTACTTACACAGACTTTTAATGCATTTGGTTTTGAGAAATGGAAAGGAAAGCAATAGAAATTATTACATGGTCTGGAACCATCACATATCCATAGTCTCGACCAATTTTTATGTGATATATAAATGGGATTTTCAATTTAGAAGAAAGAGTTAATAAGACTCGTTGAAGTTAAGATTGGTGGGGACTGTGGAGGTCTTGGACCATATAATAATTTCTCTTATGGCCAACGTCCTATAAGACTGCGGTCGTTGATTGGTTATTGCATGGTAATTGAGAAGAGAGAAAACATGATTTTTGATGGGGAGAAGGTCCACTTGCAGATGCATGAGAGGATCCGGGCTCATTTATATGATAAGCATAGGTTAGCATTTGTTGGTCGGTGGCCTAAAGCTAGTGAAAAGTGGTAACTGTTAGCAATAGTAATATAATGTTGAACTTGGTATTTATGAAGTAATAGCTCAATTTAAAAGTTATGCTGGCTATCAATTATTTAAGCTGGTAATTTTGCTTATTTTGCTTCAATTTAAATGTTTTCAGTTTTGTTATCATATTATTTATGTAAAAAATATTTTCCCTTTGTTATCTAGGTACCAGATAGGCCTTAGGTATACAGGTGGTGCTCGCATGCTGTTAATGCTTTCTCTGAAATTTGGCATAATTCCAATTGTCGTACCTGTTGGTGTTCGAGATTTTGACATTGATGGTGAACTTTGGGTAAAATTAAGACTAATACCAACAGAACCTTGGGTAGGAGCTGTTTCATGGGCTTTTGTTTCACTTCCAAAGATCAAATTTGAATTATCTCCATTCCGTCTGTTCAATTTAATGGGTATGTCATACTTTTATAGATCTAAGAAATTACAAATTATACTCTTTATATTTACTGGTATCTGAATGATTTGGTAAGCAATTCAAGTAAAAAATACTACTATTTTCTAGGAACTTGGTTATGAAAAAAAAAAGTGCAGTGTGAATAACTATGGGAAAATAAAGACGAAGGTAGCCTCAAGCCCTCAAGGCTTATTACTGATTGTTTAGGCAATTTGCTTATGCTTTTTAGTTAATTAATTATTTCTTTCGATATGTACTATATAGACTGCCCCAAGTGTCATACTAGTGATTTTTTATTCCATTCTGTTTTTTATTTTATTATTTTTATTATTTTTTATTTTTATGTTTGATGAAAGCAGAATTACGAAAGTGAAAGGAGTATCATTACCCTGATTTACTCTTTAAGATTCATGAGTGGGGAAAAGATAGAAAGCAGCTCTGACCTTTATTGTTATTCAACGCCTAGTTCCTCTTTATTCTAAAGATATCATATAGGATTACTAATAAAACATTCATGTACTAAAACCTGTTTTCTCCTTCATTTGAAACCTTGCAATTAAGAAATTCTTCAATCTTGAGGGCTAAGCTGACCTTCCTTGTTCCTTCACACAAACTGTTAAGCTGCAATTTTGCACAATGGTTGAGGATGCTAGTTAACACAAAAGCCAGTGATTGTCATCTTACTTCTTAAAACCTTGAGACACAACACTGTATAATCGTATTTTTATGAGTTAATTTTGTGCCAATTTGCTTGGGGCAGCTGCCAGCATATTGATATTGGATTGACTCAGTTTAATTGATGTTGAAAACAGTTCTATAGTTGTTGGGATTCGGGAAGGATATTTTGAACAATTATAAATACTAGTTGGATCACTCCTCTTATGAATATGATTCCTTGACAACAACTTTAGCCAATAAACCCCTGGATACTCCCCTTTCACCACCAACTTCCCCAAAAGCTGTTTGGTTAATGCTCTTGAATAATATAGCACAACCCCATACACGAGCCCTTTCGATTGAATTGGGGACAATGCATACACCCACCTATCTTGTTCTGAAGTACTAATTTTTTTCTGGAATGGGGTGACAATAATGGAATTATTATGGATCATTTGGTTATAGAAACTCTAATACCATGTGAAGAATCAACTATCCTAAAAGCTTAAACAAATAGATAAATGTTTGTGAATAATTTTGTATCTAACATTTGTGTCTCTTTTAACATTCATTTTAATTTTAATAAAACATAAAATTCTACTCATTATTTTTTGTAAGTCAAAGGCAAATCGTATAGTCTCTTTGGATATCAAATATATGTGTATATTTTTGTATGTCTGATATATTGTTACTGACATTTCTGTTATTTTCTTCTTTTGTGCATTCTTGGGCATGGTCAGCAATTCCAGTTCTCTCGATGTAAGTTCCATTTATCTTCTTAATATTTTAATACATTGTATTTGATGCTTGTGAAGCTGTATTTATATGCAATTGTCTGAATGCATTTTGAAAGTGGTACTATTTATATTTTAGAGTATTAGACACATATCTGATGCTGATGTTATTAATTAATAGTTATACTTTGGAAGCTTTAGTTACTCCAGATTAAATATTTATTTTAGTTAACAGTAAATATTTACATTTTTTACAATGACGTGCTTCCTTTGTTTCTCTTTAATAATAGTTGTTCTCTAAGATATTGATGTCAATGTCCCCAAAAGAGATAAAATTAAATGGTTGAAGAACTTTATAGGTTGGTCTTAGAATATTAGGATATATTTGTATTTAGTATTATATTATTTTATATTTCCTAAAATAGGATGATGACACTTGTAGGTTCATCCTTAGTACTATTAAGTTATAAATTTTTATTCCTTTTAACATATGAGATCAATGAAAAATATGAATGTTACTTTCATCTTCTTTATAGCTTTCTTATAGTCCTTTAATGGTAGATTTTAGGAGTAGTGATAGTATAGCTAGTTGCTATCTATCACATTGACGATAATTCTTTAAAGCTTCCATTATCTAGTAAATTTAATCTATTCCAAGCTCTCTTTCATCATTGAAGATTTGTTATCCCAAGATTGTCTGTTAAGATTGTATTTTTTGTTTTTTTTCCTGTCACTAATTGTAATGAAAATTATTCTGGCTTTTCTCTTGTAGGTTTTTGACTAAACTTCTCACTGAAGATTTACCTAGACTATTTGTACGGCCAAAGAAAATTGTTTTGGATTTCCAAAAGGGAAAAGCTGTTGGCCCAGTTGCTGGTGATGTTAAATCTGGAGAAATGCAAGAAGGAAACCAGGATTCTGTGGGTGAACTATCTGTTACTCTTGTGGATGCTCGAAAGCTTTCTTATATTTTCTATGGTAAACTCTATTGTGCTGTATTTTCTATTTAAGTGATTTTTAATTATTATTATTCAGATTTGATTTGTGTATTCTTTGCTTTTTAATATATTTTTCATTTTGTTTAGCTGTCTATTCTCTAATTTATGTTCCGCGAACACACTTTTGTTTTGTCCTCTAATAATCTTGGGTTCATGCAAGGCTTTTTTGTTTGATGTATTAGTGCCAATAAATATGCTACTTCCATGTTGTCCTCATTGCTCTTCGATGTATTCACCCATATTTTAAGTTGGATAATGATAAAATATGATGAATATTCTCTATAGAATAAGTGAAAGAAAGGACAAAAGAGAAAGTTTAAGTAAGCTTTCTGATATAGTTGCCTGCTTAAAACTAGTGTTACATCAACTATTTTGTATTTGTCCTAGAAAATACTAAAAAAAAAAGAAGAAGATAATTATTGAAGTAAATGTTAAGTTGATATTCATTAAATATATACATTTCTAAATTAAGCCTGAACGAAATTTAGGTTTTCCTGGAACTTTAGTTTTTATACCTTAGCAATCAAGTAAACGTAGTTGATGATTTATCCAGCATATTATTTTCATTTACAATGACGAACTTTTTAACATAACTGCAACATTTTAGAGTTTTGGCTTTTATTTTATTCATACCTAATTTTTTTGGTAATTGTATTATTAGTATCGGTTTAACCCATATATTGATTATTGAGCTATTGTGATTTGTGACTGTTTAGTGAAATATTGTGTTCTCTCTATATATGGTCTCTCCTTTATTCACTCTCTTATTTGTAAAACCGTCTTGTTTACAACCATGTTGTATACTGATAATGATTTTAGTTTGTTGACAATAAAAGTAGAATTTGGTTATGTGTACTTGGTTTTGCCCTATCTGGTTTTTTTTCTTACCACTTTTAGTTTCAATAGAAAATTGAGTTATCAATGCTATATTGGTATGCAATATATATGCTCCATTGCCTACCATAATTTTTGTTCTGCTTTTCTCCAGGCAAGACAGATCCTTATGTTATTCTTAGCCTCGGAAATCAAGTTATACGAAGCAAAAAGAACAGTCAAACCACTGTAATTGGACCCCCTGGAATGCCAATTTGGAATCAGGTGTCACTTTTGGATTCCCCAATTCATCTTTAGTGTTCCATTTCTATATTATCGTACTAATGGGTTCTATTTCTACAGGATTTTCATATGCTTGTTTCCAACCCTAAAAAACAGAAGTTATCTATCCAAGTTAAGGACGCTCTAGGATTTGCAGATTTGACTATTGGTACCGGAGAGGTATGTACTATGCACAATATTATTTGTCTTTTAGTGAAGATTTATTCCCCTTTTTCTCTATTTAATAGTTTATACTTCTTTCACAGTCTTCAACATATAGATACAGTTAGCTTTTGGTTTTTGTTTTGGATTTCGTTGCTTACATTCTAGTCAACCTTTCATTTATACTGCTGCTTGTTAGCAATATCAAGGGTGTGTCTTTTAAATATCTTTCCACCGGACAGTATGGTTCATGTTTGTACGTTTTAATTTAGGGGGTGTTTGGTACATGGAGAATTTTTCATGCCTGGGAATAATAAGTCTTAGGAATCATGAAAATCTATTTGGTTGGTCATAAATATTTCTAGAAATGTTTATAAATGTTACCTGAGAATTAAGGATTTTTATTGCATTAAATAAACAAATAAAATAACATGTCACTTTTATCACATTAAAACTTTATTTTTACCTTGAGAAAATTAGTTTCCCATCTCATCCACAAGAATAATATGCAACCATTCCCGGGAAACAATGTTTACTTGGAGTGTTATTTTTTAAATAACAAACCAAACGTGAGAAAGTAACATTTCTGATATCAGATTATCGGGAAAGTAAGAACTTCATGTGTACAAAACGTCCCTTTAGTGTTGTTTTACAGTGTTTGGTTGGAGGGGATTTTATAAACTTTTCTTGTTTGGTTCACTTTTTAGGAGGGGAAGGAAGGGGAATAAAGGGGAGCAAAACTCCTCCTAAACTAAATTTTAAACCATATTTTGTGTAATGTCCAAAATATCCTTATTTATGTTTTTAAATTTAAAATTATAAGGATGCAAAGGTAAATGTGTTTTTAAATCCCCCTCCTCCCTTGTGAACCAAACAAAAAAGAGTTACCTCCCCTCCCCACCCTTAAAGGTAGTCTTATTTACTTTCATGTTTTTTTTTTAGATTGGGCAAAATTTCATCTGTCATATTGTGTCTGTGTTGGAAGTTGCATAAAAAAAATATATGGCATGTCAGAGTTAATTTTGCATTTTTCCCTGTGTTTATGCTTAGTTGAAAATGTTTTCAGGTTGATTTGGGATCTCTTAAAGACACTGTACCAACAGACAGAATTGTGGTTTTACAAGGAGGTTGGGGATTTTTAGGGAAGCGCTCTTCTGGGGAAATATTACTTCGGCTAACATATAAAGCATATGTGGAGGATGAGGAAGATGATAAAACTGTGCTGGATTCCATTGACACCGATGCTTCTGATGATGAATTGTCTGATTTAGAGGCAAATGTCACTAATGAGAAGGATGAAAGATATTCTATGTATGAAACAGAGTCATTTATGGATGTTTTGGCAGCATTAATTGTTAGCGAAGAATTTCAGGGGATAGTAGCATCTGAAACAGGGTTTAGCAAAGCTTTGGATAATGGCTCAAATGCTGGGCCTAAAGTGTCAAAATCTTCAGTCCCCAATGCTGAACCAATTCCTGCTAGTTCTGATAATTCTGAAGGCTCTGGAGGTATCATTATCTTGTAATATCTAATTGAACCTTTTATAATATGTATTATCTGTAGGTTTATAGATTTAAAAGCATCTTGTGTTCATGATGACAATTAAAACTTCCAATTGCAGGGTCAGCTTTATTTTGGCTTGCTGTGATTACTAGCATATCTCTACTAATTGCTCTCAATATCGGGGGTTCCAGTCTATTCAATCCTTAAGGTGGTGTTCTGCTGTTTGGAATATCATTGCTTGCCAACTTCGTTATACTAATGATATGCTTTTTATTTCTCGTGTTATGACCAACTGTATTATATCTGAGATGTTTGCCTTGTAGTAATTATTAATTTCAAAGCTTTCTTCTAGAGGAAGAACTTAGTGTTTTATCTGGTTTTGCAATTGGCTAGTCGTCTTTATTTAGTCTTCGATAAAACACCAGGTAATTTTACTAGATAGAATATTAAATTGAAATATAATTTTTTGGAAATAAAACAATTTGCTGTCAAAAGCTCCCTCTTGCACTGATGGACTGCGCTTTGGAATACACATCATCAATACTGTCAAAATATTTGTATGGGTGGATGATAATTGAGGTAGTATTGTAGATGATTGCTTGGAAATAATGTCAGTTCGTGTTGCAATGTTGTGAGCACTTCTAATGAAATTGTCAAGCTACTTACATGTTATATTCATAATTCTCCTTGTGTTCCTTTGCTCTTGAGGGTGCTAATTTATCTTCTTTTTTTTTCTCTTGACAGGTGGAGCAGTAAATATAATTAGATATTTTTCCTCTATTCATTATTACAGTGTTTGTATATTCATATTCATGAGTACTTACCATTGAGGAAAGCATATACCGGCGGCGCATATTTTTGGCTTCGTTTTGTGAAAGCCACAAATTTTAGTTCACCTTCAAAGTTGTATTAATTGTCTATATGCAAACGTTTTGTTTTATACTCGGCAATAATAAAATAGAATAACAGGTTTATTTTATCGGCCAAAACACTTTTTCTTTTACTGATAAATCACGTCATTCCCATACACGATGAAGAATGACGAAAAATCCTCATTTTATTAATTAATGCTTTTGGTGTTGTAGTGGTAAAACCTTTTGATAGAATCATAACTATAGTTCTTTAATTTTCATGTTATTGATGTATAAAAAAAATATATACAAACAATTAATTAGAAATAACCATAGTTTTTTATATATAAAGAAATAACCATAGTTATGACTTTTTAGTAATTATCTTAGAAAACAATAATTCAATTATTTAAAATTCTTTCAAGTGATTTAGTGTTTATACTCTTTAACTAAAGATCAACAAACAAGACCAACCTAAATTTCTGTTATAAGGTAAAGAACATGGTTCGTCCATACAAAAAATCAAAATACTTCAGTGAGCCGTTAAGTTACAAATTTTGGGCAATAAAAAACTTTTCATATTTTTATGATCAAGCCTGAAACTAAAATAAGGCCAAACTATTAATTTCACGTTTAAATAATCTTCTGATGCTCTAAAAATGGGTCTGTACATATAGCTGTCTCATAATTTATTCTTCAGTAGCTATAATTTAAGATAAATACAACTTGTTAACCTTTCCATTAAGTACAATTAATTCTAAACGTAAAACCCGTAAGAAAAAATCACAAAATACTTATATTTACAGGTCTAGAATAATTTTACTCTACCAGTCAAACAAAACATTTCTAATACAAATCAGTTTTTTTTCTTATTCCTAACAAAACCCAAACCAAATGATGGACCTCAAACTTCGATACAACAAAAGAAATGAATGTACATTTTATGCTGGTGAATGGTAATAGTAATGCTAAGTTGCCAACATTCAACTACTATACAAGATGGTAGCCGCTTAAGCATAACGTTCACCCTGTTACCCAAAAAGAAAAAAAGCTAAACATAAGATTGGTTCAACTTTTCATATATCCTAATTCCGTAAATCTTCCGTGAAGCTCCAACTCTAAACAGTAAATAATACACAACTAACGAAATTTCCATCTACCATCTCAAGTTCATGTTAAGACATGCTAGAAATATTATACAAGTGCCCTTCTATGTCTGGAATAAAACCTTTCTCCAACATTTCCAGTCTTACTATATCGTAGGTAGTACGATTTGGATTCAAACCCTTTTCCAACATCTCATTAAGAAGCCTATTTGCATCCTCTAGCTTGCCTTGTTTACAAAATCCTTTAATCAACACATTGTATGTTACAACATTTGCTCGCTTCCCTTCTTTCTCCATCCGGGTCCTCACCTTCAATGCTGCCTTGAGATTTCCCTCCATGCAATATCCATCCATCAAAGTATTATATGTTACATGATTAGGTTTGACACCTACGTTGGGCATTTCACCGAGTAATTTTTCTGCCTTACTTGAATCATTGACTTTGCACCATCCATCTATTAAGATGTTATATGTTACGGTGTTAGCTTTCAACCCATAATTCTCCATTTCAACAAGAAGCTCCTTCGCAGCCCGTACCTTCTGGTTTCTGCACAAGCATGCAATTAAGCAATTATAGGTTGAAACATTTGGAAAAATCCCTTCATATAACATTGAATTTCGCAGTGCAAATCCTTCTTCCATCATCCCGTCTTTGCAGTATGCATCAATCAATGTATTGAATGTTATTGCATTGGGAACCAAATCTTGTTTATCTATATCATCGAAGAGTTTTCTTGCTTCCTTCATCATCTTCTTCTTACAAAACCCATTAATAAGAGCATTGTAAGTAACAATATTTGGCTTCAAACCTGAGTCAACCATCTTATCCCACAGATCAATAGCCTCGTCTAGCTTCCCATTATTAGACAAACCATTTATCAGTGAGTTATATGTAACTAAATTAGGTTTTATTCCCTGCCTTTGCATCTCTTCAAAAGCCTTCTTGGCAGCTAACACATTCTCATCCTTACAGAAACCATCAATAAGAGTGTTAAAGGTAATCTCATTTGGACAAATTTTATTAGCAAGCATTTCCTTATAAATGGCATCAGCTCTGTACATTTTTCCAGCACTGCCCTTCTTGCAATGCCCATCAATCAGAGTGTTATAAGTAACTATGTTTGGGGAAAATCCCCAGGCTTTGATGTCTTCAATAACATCCTCTGCCTTATTCAACTTACCAGCTTTACAAAGACCATTGATAAAAATATTAAATGTGGTCAAGTTAGGCTGAATTCTCCTCTTTATCATCTCCTTGAACACATATTCCATTTCCCCTGTTTCGTTCTCCTTAACCAATGAACTCAACAATGGATTGCATGTATTCAGTGATAACTTAAATCCATAATCCCGAGCTCGCCTAAATGCTTCACAAGCAGAGTGAATTTCCAAATTTCTGACATATGCTAGGATCAACATATCAATTATTATAGCATTTGCACAAGATCGACCACCACCCAACAAAAGAGAGTGAAAAACCGAAGAAACGGTATGTTTCTCATTCTTCACAAGTTTATCCAAAAAGGACCTGACTTTAGGGTACCTTTTAGAATTTGCTAGAAGATGTAAAACTTTGCCAGTTATTTCAAGACCATGTGAAATCTTGAACTCTTTCTGAGACCATTGAAAAAATCTTAAAACAAGCTCTGAATCAACCCCTGCATTGAACAATTGGTCAAGCAATAGTGCAGGTTTGGTTGTTCCAAGATGGGGTTTGAGCTCTGACCAGCGTTGTTTAGTCAACAGCTCTGAAATAGTAGATATGCACAATGGCTGGAACACTGGACCTGTAACAAAATAATTAGAACAGAAGCAGGATAATAACTTATCTGCTCGTGTGAAGAGAAAAAAAAATGTTTATACCAAAAAGGATACATTAACATTAATTTAGAGGACATTAATAATTATATTTTCCATTTGTTGATATTATAACATATATATTTTTCATAGAAGCAATCCGAGTTTTAATGGTGGATACATGAAACAAAAAAAAAAAAACTTAGAACCTGAGTATATAATGATATTAAAAATACAAAAAATGTTGATTACCTTGAACAGACCCAGTAAGTTTGCCTACAACCATTGCTGAAGAAATCCTTCCCTTGGTATATCAATTCATAAATGGTGGAGGTCATGTGCAAAAGATAAATTTTCATCACTATTCGGGTTTGGGGTGTAATTTATTGAAATAATAATAGTCGACAAATCAAATTAAAAGCACGTAGAGAGGGTGGAGACATACCAGAAGAAGAATTTGCGGCGGAAGAGGGGTTTCACAAAAGCAACCAGATTCGGAGAATCGGTTGAGTTGAGAGTGTGATGCTGTGACTCTCAGAAAGATCATTGGGCCATGTTTGGATTTTGGGCCATCTTAACCGCTTCTGAATTGTTTGGACAAAACCAAAATAAGAAATATCTTTATAAAAAAAAAACAGTAAAAAATATAAAACTTGCATTATTTTGTGTTAATTACGAAAGTTACGTCTGCATTACATAATAGTTTTTGAAAAATTTTGGGATTGTGTGACCTGTTTTTATCGATAAAAAAATGCAATAATATATAAAAGATATTCTATTTAATAACTAATTTTTTCTCCATATTTAGTAAATTATTATGTTCTTTCAGATGTTAAGAAAAAGAAAAATTAAAATTAACAATTTTTCTAATAATTATTAATTTTCTTTAATAATCATTCACTTTATTATCTTTAATTTTATTTTATTTTAAAAAAATTATTAAGAGACACTAAGTCTCTTTTTTTTCTTAAATATTTTTTAATGTTTATACATATTAATATATAAAGGGATAATAATTATCTTTAATCTTTATATTTATCAGTCATATATCTTTTTTAGTAATTATTTTCTTTTAATAATCACTCGTCTTGTTATTTTTTTATTTTATTTTTAAAAATAAATATTAAGATTAATAAAGTGTTCTTTTTTCTCCTAGTATTTAATATGTTAAATTACACTTTTAACTTCATTATTTTTGTAGATCCATAATTTTTGTCCATCTATTTTAAAATAAAAATAGTTTAGTCCCCTTATTTGTACAAATACAAATAAACCTTATTTGTATGTAGGGATTATAGCTGTCAAAGTGGGCTCCAGCCTGTGGGTCAACCCGACCCACCTTGAAAACGGGGCAGGCCGGGCCAAAAAAATGAAAAAATTTATGATGGGTCAAAAAATGTGACCCGGCCCACTTTTGACCCGGCTCACCCGGGTTGAACCCGTGGTGGGCCGCCCTGACCCACTTACCAACCCATCCCTTAAACCCACTAACAATTCACTAACAACTCACTTAACTATTTATTATTATATATGCATTATTTTAATAAGATATCATTTTTTTTATAGATAAAGATAAAATCAATGTTAAACAATATGAAATTTATCTATTCAAACCTCTAATAAAATTTAATATTGATGAATAATCACTCTCATAAAAGATTTTTTATTTTTTGTTTTAATTTTTTAAAGTTGCACACTTATTAATTTAATTTTAATGTTGTATCCATGATACTTAGTTTAATAATTTTTACTTTAGATTAAATATTATTTTATATTGAAATTTATTTTAAATTATATTTTTTTTTTAAATTAGGTAGGTTGGTGGGAGGCCCGTTTAGCCCACCAACCCGTGGTGGGCCGGGCCGGGCCGGGCTAGAAAAATTTGCATAATATATTTGGTGGGTTGGGCCGGGTTGGCCCACTTAAAAAGTGGGTTGAGGTGGGCCGGGCCAAACGGGCCGGACAGGCCCGTTTTGACAGCTCTAGTAGGGATGACAATGAGGCCATGGCGGCGGGTAATAGTAAACTCATCCCTGTCCCACGAGATAAAAATTGGCTTCATACCCACCCTATATCCGTGCGGGTATCCATGAATTTCTTGAGTACCCACGGATATCTATGAATATCCATGGATATTTATAAATTTTTTAATAAATTAAAAAAATTATATTAGAAATAATTTTAAGTTTATATTTAATGTCATTGAAATATTAAAAATAAAAATTCAATGTTAATTTTGAACTTGTATTTAACGTTAATTTTGTTGAAATAATAATAAAAATACAAGATAATCAATAACTTAAAATACATCAATCTCACAAGTGAAAGTTTCATGTCAAAAAGCTACAATAATTCAATCTCATAATTTCAAACGAAAGTAAATAACTTAAAATACATAAATCTTATTGTGATGACTAATGTGTTGGCTGTGCGGCTATGAAAAGAAAATAAGATGAGAGAGTATAGTTTTAGGGTTATGTGGTACAAGGATAATTAGGATATTTGATAAATATTATTAAACGAGTACCCGCGAGTATGAATATCATACCCGCTCTCGCCCCGTTTATAAATGGGTAAAAAATTATCCGTCCCCATTATCTGTGGGTATCAAATTAGTCTATCTATTTATTATCCATAGCGGATTTTACTCACAAATATGCGCGTGTACGAGTATTTTTGTCATCCTATTTGTATGAATTACTTTTTTGTTTTTTTCTCTCCAAATGTCATATTATTAATGGCACATCATTTAACTAGGAATAAACATTCAAATTTAATGATTAATAAATATCAATTTAACTGAAAAATTAAAATTTTATATTTTTTAACTCAGAGACACTAAACATCTCTAACTTAAAATAGATATCCCAAAGTTATGGATAAATAAAAATAGATGAACAAAAATTAGGATTTAGTCTATTTAATAAAGAGTTTAATAGTGATACATTCATCATGAAAAATGTTGCACACATTCTACTAATAAAAATATGATTATGACTTTTTGGATTGTTATTAGAAAAGTCAATACACTTGTCATTTATGGTAAAATGTAATTAATGACTTTCTTAAATTGTTTACGTAATTGATATTTTATCATTAAATTTTTTAATAAAATTATATTATTTTATAGTATTCATAAAAAAAGTGATAATACAATAATTTTTTATTCGATATTTATAAAATAATATTTCATCTTAATAATAATATAGTGTATCATTATAAATAAAAATTGTAACGATAATTCATATCGGTTCAACCACTAACTTTGACTTACGGTTAATCTCCAAATTGAGTATTAATTATTTTTACTAATAATTATGGTTTAAAATAACAAACATTTATGACACCTAAACAATCTATCTTAATATGTTTTTCACCAAATCACTTGGGTTACACTTCAGGGATCCACAACTTCATATCTTACAAATTTCATCCTAAATCAACCAAGGGATATTAATTTTGTTTAAAAATTTATATAAAGAAATAGGAAGTGAATATTCTCTTTTATGGGGTGAAATATTTACAAATTAAAATCTTACTAATACTTAATTAAAAATTGTGAAAATTTAAAAATAGTTGCACAAATGAAAATTATAAGATAGTAATGATAACAATATTAATGATCGATGATAATAATTATGGTATTGATAATGATAAAAATAGTAGTAATAATAACAAAAATGATAATATGATAAGAATAATAATGATGATAGTTGTAACGATAAAAACAAAGGTAATGAAAAAATGTGATAATTACAATTATAATAATGATAATAACAATAATAAAAATAGTTACAATGAAAATGACAATAATAACAAATAGTGATAACAATGACAACCATAATAATAATAAGATATTAATAAAGTTGAAGATAGTAGTGATAATGAAAGTGATTATAATATCAATGTCATTATTAATAATAATAATGATGGTGAAAAAGATGATAAAAAGAAAGAAAAAGAGTGTTTATCTATTTTGTTAGATTTTAACCAAACTTTCTTCCCAATATAATAATTACACAACACCAACAATATACGACAAAAAAAAAAAAGTTAAGCAACTTACATCTTATTAGGACAATAAATAGTTAATTACAAATATAATATTTAATATAAGATGCATTTGATTATAAATATAAGTGAAATGAATTCTTATCCATTATTATGTTGATATGTCAAAATGAAGAATATATATTTAAATATTTGATATAAGATGAATTTGTATCATTTAATTATATGTAAGAAACATAACAAACTGTTTTTAATTATACCAATGACTTTAATTTTTTTTTTTCACTCAAAAAATTAAGTGAAATCTCAAACAAATTAACTTTAATATCTTCTATAAGATCTTCACATAACCTATGGAATGCACATATAAAGACAACAACTCCATTTTTTATAAGATATTTGGTTGCTGAATAGTTTTAACATAAAAAAATAATAATGAAACATAATCTTGCTAAAATGAGAAAGAGTCGCATTAATAAAAATAAATATATTCAAAGTGTATGAATAAAAAACAAGTTTAAATATAATTTGTCTTCTTCTCCTTTTGCAAACGTGTAATTTTAGTTTCCTAAATGTTTTATTAAAAATTTTGTCTAAAACATTGAAAATTAAACAATTTTTTATTGAAAGAAAAAATCAAAGAATGTTAATACATAGTTAAGGTAGCATCTAAAATTGAAAAGAAAAGAAAGGTGTCTACGTGACACTAATGGACAGTGGCTCATAATAAGACTATTTTGCTCACTAGCCCAAGCCCGCGGTGGTAAGCTAAGTGACTGATTCGTGTGGTTGCATCGCAAATGGTGTGAATAAGCGAGCTAGCCCTAACTCCATAACCAACCCATTTCCTCTTCTGCTTCCAACTCACTCACTCACTCCTCAACTCCTTCCTTCTCCGTTCCTATTTCGCAACCCTCGCTTTTCAATTTACGATTCTCCTTCGCCTCACCGCAGATCGCTTCCAATGGCTTCGCCCGCGTGGTTGCCGCAGGACCCACAGCCACAGCCACCTGTGTCCGGAGAAACGCCTCTTCCCGTGCCTTCTTCCGCTCCTGCAACTCCTTCTTCCGGTACTCCTTCACGCTTTCAATTCATCCAATCTTATTATTATTTCTACTCCACCAAAACTTCACGCAAATTTGTTTAATGCTATTAACTCCGTTTGTAGCTCCGCCACCGCCACCACCACCGCCATTCGCGTACGGCGTGCTTCACAGTGTTAACGCTTCCGTCAGTTCTCAGCACTCATCGACACATCCTGTTAGTATTGTACCGAGTTATTTGTTGCTACTTGCTAGTGTTAGGTTTACGCTGGTGTAATGTTGTATTTCGTATTTCAATTAAAGACATGTATGTGTTCTTACAACCTGTTCTGCTCTGTTGGTTTTTTTTCTCTCCCTTTTTTAATGCAGGCGATGAAATCCAATTCTTCAGCAAATCCCATGGCTGTTCAACCTCAAGTACCTGGTGTCTCTTCACATGCTGCTCCTTCATTTTCGTATAATATTCCCCAGAGTGGTGCCTCTTTTTCTAGCAACCTGCATCATGCACAATCTAACACTGTAAGCTCCGTAGTACTCGCGTTAAATTGAATGAGATTACTTGTTGTCAGAAAGGAGGGAATAGGTTTGGGTGATTCCATGTTTTAGGATGATTTGTTAAACCTCTAGGCTATGCTTGTTTGAGTAGGTGGAAAATTTTGGAATGAAGATTACTTCATATTTGATCAGTTTGACAACATTATGGGACTGTTGAAAGTGCTGGAGTGCAACTCCTGTATTCTCCACTGTATAAAATATGGTCATCCCTCCTCTACTATGAAACTGAATTGAAAGTGAGGTTTTCCTCCTGCTGCAACAGTGAGTTATGAGTGAATATCAAAACTTTTCAATCCCTCACTTCCTTTGTACCTCCCCTCTGTTTGATGCCATTTCGCTTTCAAGTTTCAACCTACTAAAACCAGAATTATAATGACTTCTAAATGCTCACAGTGAACTTAGTGTCTATTGACCAGAGCTGGGCCTAGCATGAACAGCATATATGCTTAAGCCTCAAGTGAAATAAAACGTGCTTAAAGTGTAGGATGCAAGTAACTTAGTTATACACAAGAATTTATATAAATATAATGATGAAAAGGTTTGGTTGGTTACGTAGAACTTGCTGATGTATGTATAATAATACAATGGAGTCTATATGTGTTACTTCTATATTAGGTTTTCTTGCAATAGTGGATAACAAAGAAATGATGTCCTATTCAAATGTGTGGTATAGGTACAATCTGACAATCTAAAATGAATAATGGTTATCATGTAGTGTTCTGGTGATGAGCATCGGCATTATGTAACTGGTGCAACAATAATTTTAACAGTAAAAGTCTTGACAATGATTATTTCTTCCTACTTTTATTTGCTTATTGCAGAATATGTCGGATTCTGCTGCACAGGATGTTAGTAAATTGTCATCTGCATCAAGTATCCCTCATTCTGTCCCTGCTCATACTTCTACATCCATAATGCCGCCACCCTCTGACCCTAATTATCGCCCAGCTACTTCATGGATGCCAACTGCCCTGCCTTTTCCTGTGCATCCTTTGATGCCTACTCCAGGGAATCCTGGCCCTCCTGGATTAGCATCATCCGCGATAATTTCCTCCAATCCTGCTGCTCCATCCACAGGCACAGATTCTTCCCCAGCTGCATTACTGAGACCAAACATGCCAACTTCAGCCATTGCATCAGATCCTACTGCCCCTCAGAAAGGTTTACCCTATCCATCCATGCCTGCCATGGCTGCTCCCCCTCAGGGAGTTTGGTTACAGCCCCCGCAGATGAGTGGTGTACTTAGACCACCATATCTTCAATACCCTGCTCCTTTTCCTGCTCCCTTTCCATTTCCAGCGCGTGGTGTTGCTCTCCCTGCTGTTCCAATACCTGATTCTCAACCTCCTGGTGTTACACCTGTGGGTGCTGTTGGTGGCACTTCTACACTTGTTTCTGGCCATCAGCTGAGGGGAACAATTGCTTTGCAAACAGAAGTTATTTCAGGGCCTGCTGGTATGCACAATGCAGTGTTACAGCATCTCTACAATGTATTTTCTCATTGATGTGCTTTGAAAATAGAAACCTCATTCCTAAAATTTTTTGTTCTTTTGGTTGTAGATGATAAGAAGAAATTAAATGCTGTTGAAACCCAAAATCAGGATGCTGCTAGTAATGATCAATTAGATGCCTGGACAGCCCACAAGACTGAAGCAGGAATTATATACTATTATAATGCTGTGACAGGAGAATCAACGTATGATAAACCTGCTGGTTTTAAAGGGGAGGTACTGATACTCAGCACCTATATTCTCGGCAGATCTTATACCATATTGTGTCTTGCATCACTAAATAATATTCTTTTTTTTTATTAAATTATAATTTCAATCATCAAAAAGTATTCTTTAATATACTTTATAGTTTATATTATTAGTAAATGATATTTAATTATGTTAGATGATATTGGATACCCTAACCAATGGGAAAAACCTCAGATACAAGATATTTGTAGATTAAAAATGTTACATGTGACTGTAGAAAATCATTTTAAATGCCTTTCATACCATTCAAAATTCCCTACCATCATAAGTAGTGATGCTTGTGATCCCTATTTTTTATTTTATTTTAATTCTAACTTATTAATATTTTGGATGTATGTGCAGCCTCACCAAGTTTCTGCTCAGCCCACTCCAGTTTCAATGTAAGTTAATTGCTTATCTTCTGGTAGCAAATATAAGACTATCTTACTGTACAAGTCATTTTGTTTTTCATCTTGTGCTAACTCTCCTACTGGGCTGCTTATTTCTATTTTTCCCATTGGCCTTGAAAACATTTACAACCTTACCTACTCATCTTTTGTCATTTTTAATTAATAGGACGGATTTGCCTGGAACTGATTGGATGTTGGTCTCTACTAGTGATGGAAAAAAGTATTACTACAACAATCGAACCAAGGTATGGTTCCTACATTCATATTTAAGTTAATTTTTTCAACAAATGGACCTGTGCGTTGACCATAATCCATGCCCAAATACCTCTTGCCTGTGGGTGTGTGTTACAGATGTTCAAACCATTCCTGGTCCTAACAGTAACAATGGAAAATAGAGTAGGAGTTTTGATAGTAATATTGTGTAGTTGAAGACATTTTGATATCCCAGAGGTCTGTTCTTTTGTTTAGACAATTAATAGAGCGAACAGAATGATTTATTTCAGACTCATCTGCCTCACTGATGTGTAAAACATAGTAGTCAATCCCGGATAGCGGAGCGGAGCGGTCGACCCTAAAAACGGGATAGCGGGATGACGCGGAGCGAGATAACCGCTATTTTAATATTAATTTATATATTAAATAATTAATAATATATATATAAAAGCTAAAAAAAACTCTAACTTCATGCATTAAACATTTTTAATATTTAAAAGTTCATAGTACTCAAACAATACATAATATAAAATGTCTTCAAAACAAAGTGTTAAAGTTCTAAGTAAGTAAAAAATTAAACATTATAGTTTAATCTTCTTCTTCATCAAGATTAAAGTCTTCCTCTCCCTCAAATTCATCACCCTCACTAGCATTAGAAAAATCTGCTGAATTAAATTTAATCAAAAATTAAAAATAAAATCTTCTGAATTAAATTTAATTAGAAATTAAAAAAAATTGCTGAATTAAATTTAATCAGAAATTAAAAAAAAATCTGCTTAATTAAATTTAATTAAAAATTTAAAAATTTTTGCTGAATTAAATTTAATTAAAATTTAAAAAAATTGCTGAATTAAATTTAATCAGAAATTAAAAATAAAATCTTCTGAATTAAATTTAATTAGAAATTAAAAAAATTACTGAATTAAATTTAATCAGAAATTAAAAAAATTTTACTAAATTAAATTTAATCAGAAATTAAAAATAAAATCTGCTAAATTAAATTTATTTAGAAATTAAAAAAAAATTGCTTAATTAAATTTAATGAGAAATAATAAAAAAATCTGTTGAAATATAAAATAAGAATAGAAAAGAGAAAGAAGACAGAGGGGGCAGTTGGAGCGGAGCAGCGTCGGAGTCGGAGCTGGAGGCGCGCGTCGGAGCTGGACGAGCGTCGGAGCTGGACGACAGCGTCGGAGCTGGACGACAGCGTCGGAACTGGAGGACCTCGAAACCGTTGTGCGTCGGAGCTGGACGACTGAAAAAACGATCGTCCAGGGAGTGCGAGGCAGTGAGAGTAGAGAGAGAGGAGAGGGAGTGGAGACGTGAGAATAGCAAGACTTCCGCGAGAGAGAGGGGAAAATTAGGGCAAATAAAGCCCAACGGAAAGACAAACTTACCCTTAATGAAGGGTAGGTCAAAAACGCGCCGTGATTTTCGCGTTTCTGGCCGCTCCGCCACCGACACGGCCGCTCCGGCCGCGACACTCATCTGCGACGCGACAACATCCAAATGGCGGGGTCGGGCCGCTCCGCTCCAGAGCGCCGCGATAGCGGCCGCTCCGCCCGCTATTGACTACTATGGTGTAAAATGTGAATGTTATGTTCTGAAACAGCATAAGAGTTATTTCTGATTTACATAATTGATACTTTTCTGTGAGAATCTTTCTGGTTTTTTGATTAGCATGCTGTTTCCTACCTTGCAGTAGTTTTTGGTTGGTTTAATTTAAAGGTTTTGGTAAATAGCAAGGATAATTTATTGTTGATACTTCCAATTTTCGAAAATAAACTGAAATATTGGTTCATAAGTCATATTATCAACAAATTAGCCATTCTTTTGGTTTCCTAAATAGGAAATATATCCACCTTATCTTAAAATGTAATTTTTATAAGTTGTATTTAATGTACACGTACAGTTAATACATTTTATTTATTTATTTAAATCATTATACTTTTTTTTTATATTTTTATTCTCCTTATTGTTTTGTCCTTTTGTTCTCGGTTAGACTAGCTGCTGGCAAATCCCAAATGAGGTGACTGAATTGAAAAAGAAGCAGGATGGTGATGTTACAAAAGATCATTTAATGTCAGTTCCAAATACTAATGTATTGTCTGATAGAGGGTCTGGATTGGTTACTCTGAATGCTCCTGCTATTAATACTGGTGGTCGTGATGCTGCAGCTCTTAAATCCTCTAGTCAGCAGACCTCATCATCGGCACTGGATTTGATCAAGAAGAAATTGCAGGACTCAGGAACACCTGTTGCTTCCTCTGCTATTCCTGCACCATCAGTACAAACAGGATCTGAATCAAATGGTTCAAAAATAGTTGAATCTACAACTAAGGGCCTGCAAGTAGATACTAACAAAGATAAACAAAAAGATACTAATGGTGATGCTAACATCTCTGACACATCCTCAGATTCTGAAGAAGAAGATAGTGGACCTTCAAAGGAGGAGTGCATCATTCAATTTAAGGTATAATATTTCTTTTCTTTGAGCAGATTTGGTTCTTGGGTTTTTGTTTCAAATCCTGATCCTCCTGCAGTGATTTCATTACAGATTTTTAACTATGTTAAAATTATAGTGTTAAATATACCTCCCGCATTGCTTTTTCTTGTACCATATATTTATTATCCGATTCAATTATACTTTTGTTTGGATGTTATTTTCTGTTTTCTGTGTGTGATTTTTTTTAATAATTTCTAAGCATCAAAATATTTGATGGAAGATGTTAAATGGCTGTGTTTTTATTTGATTAAGTTAACCATTGCACCATATCTGTAGTCATGTTCATGTTCTAGGACAGTTTTTCTTTGAGCTTAGTGTTATCAAAAAACGGTTATGGCGGCGCCATAACGGGGCCATAACGGCGTGGCGGCGGCCGCAATCCTTTATGGCGGTTTAGGGTGAAAATGGCGGGGTTCGCCATTTTGGAGATGGCGGCCGTTACGGCGGGTTTGGCGTGGCGGTCCGTGGCGGACATGGCGGACATGGCGCCGTTTTTGGGCCATTTTTTTTTTGTTTTTTGTTTTGGCCCTTTTTTTTTTTTCGTTTTGGGCCTTTTTTATTTTATTTTCTGGTTTGGACCCGGGTTTGTTTTCCGGGTTGGGCACCCAACAGATGAAATAGGGCATTAGAAACCCTAAATCACTTACAGTCCCTTTCTTGCAAACCTCCCCCCCCCCGCAACTGCTCCGACTCCCACGCCGCATCTGCCACCATCGCCGACGACGCAACCGCCATCGACGCCGACGACTCAACCGCCGCTGTCGCCTCCGACGCAGCTGCCACCGTCGCAGCCTCCGACGCAGCCGCCACCATCACGTAAGAACTAAGAAGTCTCTTCTCCTCCGCTTGCATCACTGTCGCGCCACCATAACCTCCGCCACCACCGCAGCTGCCTCCGCGCACGCCACCCTAGCCTCCCCGCGAGCCACCACCACCTCCGCCGTCACCTCTGCACGCCACCCACCGTGACCTCCGACAAGATTTTCTTCCTCCTCCTTTGAGTTTTGCCATCACAACTGCCACCGCATCCGACAATCCGACAATGTCAGGGGAGGCAGAGGATTGTTGCTTTGTTTTAGGATTAAACAAAATAGTTTTAGGAATGACAATTGTGTTTTGCTATTTTTTAACATTGTTGCTTTGTTTTGATGGCTATTTTTGTTGGTTAGGGGTTTATGTTTCTTTATGATGACTATCAATAGATTATAAATGCCATGAATTTTAGATTGTTATATTGTTGGTTTTAATATGTGACTGTGTTTGTTATTTTTCTACTTTTGCATCATATTATATATATATATATATATATATATTTTTTTTTGTCCGCCATGATGTCCGCCATAGACCGCCATGGCATCCGCCATGGCAATATGGCACTTAAAGGTCCTTGCCGCCATCCGCCGTATAACCTTATTGATAACTTGGGCTATAATCCCTATTCAGTTTGGTTATAGAGTGTGTTTTATTGTTTGGAACTGGAGAATTTGTTCCTGGAAGTTCTTGGGACTACTATGATGGTAAAGGGTAATTGAGAATGTGAGATGATGTTGAGTTTCCTGTTGTTAAGAACACAAGGTATTGTTCAGTTTTTTTCTGGAAGAATGGCAACTTTGTTTATTATGGGGTCTTAACTACACTTGTTTAAACTGCAAACAGAAAAGTGAAAGAGAAAGATATCTATGCCATGTAGAATAAAATCTTGTGGAGGGGATTTGGTGTGGGGTTTTATATGGCCTTGGACAATCCAATTACAACAGTTAGCTTTTGTTGTGTGGTTCTCCCAATTATCTTATTATTAGGTATTAGAGCCTTTCACCAAGTCTCTTGGGCTTCTTACTGCATTTTTTACATATGTATAAAATCTGCTAGTAAATTTGCCCATAATAAATCTTTTTTGTGTTAATCTTTTATTTAAATCTGTTCTGTGAAAGCAATATACCATAAATCATGATGCGCTCTTAGTTTCTATCTAATATTTTTTAGTGTTTATTTGTGCCTGTGAATTTTGTAGGAGATGCTCAAGGAGCGAGGGGTGGCACCATTCTCAAAGTGGGAGAAAGAACTGCCAAAGATAGTATTTGATCCACGTTTTAAGGTTGAATGAAACAAAATATCTTTTAATATTATGATTGGGAATCAGTGGTCTTTCCTTTAACAGGAACTTTTATAATATGCATTTGCTGTGTACTTGTAGACTTGTTCAATGCTGGAATTTCTATCAGTTTTGTCTTAATTCTATCATGCTGTATGATGTCTCTAATGATATGCATTTGGTAGATACACTTTTTTTTTCATGTGTAAGTTAGTAGTTTCACTTGATTAAGTTGTCAAAAAGTGAAAATGTGAAAACATAATAAAGTGTGGAATTAAGTCTAATTTTTTGTACATCACCAGATTGAGTGTAATAGATTTTAGAGGAAGTTCTAAATTTTCTTCGTGTATATAAATGTTTCAGCATACAAGCTATATTATTACTATATCTCCTTTCAGTTTTAAGAACTTGCTAAATCTCACTTTCTAGTTTTTCTTTGCATAATTTATTGGATAGGGTTATCTTCTGTGGCTTCCTTGTGGTCTTTAGTTCATGGTTTCTTTTTGGAAGATGTCTTACCCCTAACATTATATTTTATTTATTTATTTTTTTTCTTTACATTTTCACTTGTTTATGTTGTCATCTACAAAAAATTTATTATAGATAATCTGTTTCATTACAGGCCATCCCGAGTTATTCTGCTAGGAGATCCTTGTTTGAGCATTATGTTAAAACTCGTGCTGAAGAAGAACGTAAAGAAAAACGTGCTGCACAGAGGGCTGCAATTGAAGGATTTAAGCAGTTATTGGATGAAGCCTTGGAGGTTAATATTACCTCATTTTGATGTTTATTCATACTTATTATTGTTTCATTGTAAAATCTATCTACCTTCACTTTGAAACTACTAAATGCTTATACAATATCTTTTTTCAGGATATTAATCACAATACTGATTATCAAACTTTTCGGAAGAAATGGGGAAACGATCCACGGTTTGAGGCATTGGATCGCAAAGAACAAGAGCACCTATTGAATGAAAGGTGCCACTTTGCATTTGACTAGGATATTTCATTTTGCTTTCTGTCAATTTTTTTTGCATGTGATGTTATCACACAAGCAGCATTCTTTTCATTATATCACTCATCTGATTTGTTAATTTTCACACTGGCCTTGCTTTTGGATCTCCTAGCCTGGCTGAACTGAGTTGGTCTGTCACATCATACTATTATACACGTTATATGATGCTTTTGTGGAGGTTTTATAACTGGAAGTCTGTATTTCTATCTGTGTATTCTTAACATGGAAATCTAATAGTTCTTTTTTCTTTTTAATTCCTTGGGTTTTCTGATCATTCGTCTTGTATTTTGGGCATACAAAATAGGGAAGGCTTGTGTGGGTTAATTTCTGTTAGTATGCATGTTTCTGAATTGAATTATGGTTGTAATGCATCCTTCAGCGGCAAACAAGTTTTTGAACTCTAGTATTCAACCTGGGAAGAGATTGAATTATCTACAAAGTAGCCACTGTTTGATACCGTATCAATACTATGTTGTGGATTCGCAACAATATTGGCAAAGATAATGCTGAGAGCCACTAAGTGTTATGATTGATGCAAATATTCAAAATTGTTCTTTATGTAAGATTAATTAGTGAAACTACTGAAATCCTATATTCTTCTATCTTTCCAGTTGAAATTTCAGTATTTTGTCAAAGGAATTCAATAAACCTATACACTTTAATGTGTTGATTTATATTAAGTACTTATCTAGGAAATAGGATCTTATCTATTGATCTGCTGCGAAATTCATGGATTCATGTTGCTGCATAGAATGAGTTTCGATTGTTGCTATTCTGTTTTCTATGGCCTTCAGGTTGATAGTGTTAAAGGAAGAAAAATGTTAATGTTGTTCAGCTTAAATTGGTACAGATGGAAATATATTGGCTGAAAACTTGGGATGCAAATAATCAATTATAAACTTGGTTGATAGTTGCTACAGCTTTTTATATATTTACTTTTTTAGAATGAGATGCATCTTTTTTCATTTCCCACCCTCTTGGCTCTACTGCATCTACTTATCTAAGAGTGCAAATGCAATATTTCCTTTGTTAACCCTCTTTGCATTCTACCTTTTCATCCAAGGACGCCCAAGAGAGGGGAGTCATATGTTAATGTGGTTAATTTTCTTTACACCAAATAGGTATAAAGGTGAAGGAATCAAGAAATTTTGCATGACAGTGCGTTTTTTTTTATTTTTTTATTTTTTATAATCTCCACCAGCATCAGCACAATTTTGTCCAAAATGAATGCCATCTTTTCAGCCAATCCTTTTAATTTTGTTATTTGAAATTTGGTACATCCAACTGGGCTAAGTTCTTACCTTTGTCTGTATATGTACTGCTTTGGTTTGGATCCTCATTTGCATTAATATTGAACTTTTTCCTAGACAGAGAAATGATTTCTATTGATAATCCTTGAAAGCAACATGAGTCAGCAGGTAGTAGGCTAATGACAGACTCTCGGATTCACTCTGGGTGTGTCCTTATGCCCTCCGAACTCTTTGAATTTGCATGGTAGATGGTTTTTTTTTTAATCAAATGTGATGTTTTCAGAATGCTAGTTGATGAGGTTCCTATTTGTGTTTCAGAGTGCTTCCTTTGAAGAAAGCTGCTGAAGAAAAGGCTCAAGCAATGCGTGCAGCTGCTGCAGCAGGTTTTAAATCAATGCTTAAGGAGCGAGGAGATATAATTTTTAACTCCCGTTGGTCCAGGGTATGGGTGCATTGTGAATTAGATTCATTTTTCTGTTCATTAGATGCAGGACTTTGAAACCCATTTTCGTAAGTGCTAATAGATATAAATAATATTTGTGGGTCTGTTTTCCATTTATTCAAATTATTCCCAAATCTCTTTGCTGTTGGTTGAATTCGATTGAAGGTTTTGTTATTTGCCTTGAGAATTGGAATTGATTGTTTCATTGTTATGTGTTTCAAAGCAATTAAAAGGAAAAAATTGACAAATTATAAATCTTAGTAAGGGAGCTCTTGCTGTTAACAGCGTGACCAGCCATGTAAAGAATGGAACCTCATTCTCAATTCTACAAAAAAATCATGATAGGCTTTCTTTTAGTAGTCAGTGTATGTAAAATATTTAGAAGCTCAATTACGTGTAATATTTGGTATATTTCTTGGAGAAATTAAAGCTTTAGTATGTGTAATTTTCTTTTAAGATCATGAGCATGTGAGCTTGTTTCTTGTTTTACTTTTGTCTTGTGTTATTTCTTAACTAATATGCGATAGATTTTGGCCATTAGTGTTTTCCATGAGTTGGTGTCTGAAGAGAGGCAGGAGTGACAGTAAATTAAGTCTTACTTCACAAGTAACAACTCTTTTGGATTTGATTGAAATGTTTTAGGCTATGTGATGGCATGATAAAATGTATGTTCTCCATGTTACCGAGAATGATATTGGTAGTCACAAAATATAGTGTATCAGATTTTGACAATAATCTCCATTTATTTAAACACCACTCTCTCACACAAACATATAGAAGCTCAATATTTTCACACTAATATTTAGGAGTATATTTGCTAGCTTTTGAGATACTCTCAAGTGTATGACTTGCTAATATGTTCCCTTTAAAAATTAAGTAGGATATGTTAGCGTGCGTTGGAAATGGGAATATTTTAGGAGAATAAGAGCTGCTGTAATGTTTTCTTTTCTTCCAAGTCGCCTTGATACTTGGTATAATAGCAAGGTTCAATGTATCTTAGGAAGTAGTGGTATCTTAATTGTTTTGTTTGGCATTAATTTTCTTTGTAATTCTATTGAATATGAATAAGTCCATTCTGCTGGGTGGAGAAAACACACTCGAAGCTTGTTTCAGAAAAATTTCCTTAATTCCTCACAGGAAACTTCAACTTTGGATTTGTTAATATGCTTCCAAATATGTAGTTTGTTAATATACTTATTTTAGAAATGAGTGGGAGTACACGTGCACACGTGTGTAACTTTTATTTGTGGCACATGTCTCACTCACCTTTTCCATGACATATACCTTCTAATTTATATATCATCTTCTGTTGATACAGGTTAAAGAAAGTTTAAGGGATGACCCAAGATATAAATCTGTGAGGCATGAGGATAGAGAAGTTTTGTTCAATGAGTATATATCTGAACTGAAAGCTGCTGAATATGCAGCAGAAAGAGAGACCAAAGCTAAAAGGGAGGAGCAGGTAATTAGTTGGTTAATACGTGATGAATGCCTTTTTTTTTTTTTTTAAATCAACAAATAGGTTGCTAAATATCAACGAGAATAACTGTCACCTACTTTGCTTTTATATTGCTATTGTTATTGGTGCGTTGCCATGCTGCTGCTGTATGTTCCTTGTGGGTAGAGGCTGTTGAACCACTGAACATACTTTTAGCTCGCTCACTGGCAGTGTACGTTTGTTGTAGTGATGTTTATTATGGGTATTGAAAGTGTCTATTTTATCGATGATTTTTCTCTTTTATAATGGTCTGTATCATGTTATGGTGTTGTTCGAGTTTGCTTATTGAATTATTTGTTTCTTAGCAGCTCATTTTCACTAGCTTTTTGTGATGTATTGATTATGAAGTAAAATTACTTGTAGTTGAATCTTGTTTACAGGACAAGCTGAGGGAAAGAG